TAATATCTGCCTATCTGTATCTAATGAAAGCTTCAATATTCTTACATATATGATTGGGTTTTGTACCTCCATCCTATAGAAGCCATAGTAAATTCTGTATAGCAAATGCTTCCTAAATCTGCTGTGCTCATTTACTCACAGACAGCTGCAGGCTGGATGAAAACAATCAGGGATTAACTTTTCTATTCATCACATCTTTTAATCCATTACTTTCTCTTAGTTTGCAATAAATGAACATATAAAGTTAAATAAATTATAAGTGTGCTATAGCTAGTTAAAAAAATAGTTTAAAAGGAACATTATTATTATTATTATTATTATTATTTTTAATGATGTGTAACTGCTGTACTTCACATCAGTATCTGTAATGTATTACTCAGAGCAGAAAGGACGATGCAACAATAGTCACTGAGATGCAATAAACTTCTGTGTTCCAAAGACTTCCAAAATAAGTAATAATTAAAATAAGCTACTTTGATGTTGTTATTATTCCTCAAAAAACTAATTTGGGGGGGATGATGAATTGAAATAACCTGAGAAGCTGTGCTAAGCATTTCATACTGCTTGTAAAACAAGCTTCTAAGTACCTTATGGTAATAGGTTTTCTTGCTTTATGAAAAATACTATTGTAATTTGTTTCAAATAGGATTACTTTTTATGTGATATAGCAATTTTCATTCACCTTTCAAACAGCTGTTGAGAAAACAAAGGGGATTCCTTCATAAAGACATGAACACAATTAAATCTGGATCTCGTTTTTAGTTCTTTACTGGTATCCTTTTACCCCCTCCTTTGACTCATTTATCTTTTACGTTTGTCTTACACAACTGCATCATCCCTGTCTGAAATAAGACTAACTTAAACTTTCCTGTTAGTAATAGCAAGGTGGTTTTTATTGTACTAAACCACAGGAATCCCTTGCAAGGTTTTTTTTTTCCTCAGTTTGTTTCTGAAAATGGCAGCTGAGTGAAAAAAAATATGGTTATCTGTGCCAAATGCTGTTCATGCCACAGTTTCAACAAACTGGTCACCCAGACTGCCTGGGATGGGAAGATGGACTGGCAACGGAGATGGTGGGAAAAGGAGCACGGTGAGAAAGAAGTGACTTGCTCAGAGAAGGGAGAGGATGTGTGAGGGAGACCACACGGCTTGGAACTTCCTGAGGGAAAGGTCAAAAATTTTTAACAGGTTGGAATAACTACCAGATTTTTATGCTGATACTGTGGCTAAGAGGAAGCAGGTTCTGTAAAGCTCCAGTTTGATGGGAGACACAAGGGCTTACAGCCAAAGAGGAATTTACTTGCTCAGTGCAACCCTGCCTGGACGTTTCTGTACTGATCAGACTGATGAGAAGAGTCCATGGGCTCGGGTTCCAGGTTTGGGTTCCCCCCTTCCACAGATTGTCCCTCATTTCATCATGAGCTTCCTCTGTGAAATTATCCCAGAGACAGATTGCTGCACCCACCCAGCATGAAGATGTGAAAGGAATGAGGCTTTCTTCAGACTGAAGCAACAACTGGGAAGGGAGGAGGGAAAGGAGGGAGAACATCTGAACATCTCAGAGAAAATCCACCAGCTCTGACCCCTAAATCAGAAACTTCACTTGAAAATCTTCTGGTTTTCTGTTTTGTATACAACCCTTAATTCATTTTGCTTCTACAAAAGGGAAGCAGGCAGCCTTCATCTCTCTGACTAAACATGTTTTCTCACATTGGCCCTAAGTAGATGCTTTTATCTGGTGAGATCTGAGTGAAATAACCAAACACACCTTAGAAAAACATCCCTCTCTTACAGTCAGATGTCACATTACTCCATGGGTCATTATTTTTATCTTTTTTGGCTCTAAAAGAAATATTTTTCCATTTTTTTCTTTTTACAGAACTGTGAATTCTTATGATTTTTGCAAAGAAATCTATTTTATATATGTCTAATTTTTCAGAATTTGAACACATCTGTCCAATATAAGTTAATTCAGTTTACAATTAAATTAAAAGAAAAATCTCTGTGGGATTTGATCTGCAGAACAAAGATTTAGTGGCTCTGCTGTAAATTAGGATTTTCTACTGCTAGAGGATACCCTGGTCATTCTCCACCTGAACTGCTTCTCCATCATCTTCAACAAGAGGGACAGCCTTAGCACCACAGTTTGGCACAGATTCAGGCAAAAGAGGGGAAAAAACAAAAAAAAATTTAAAAACAGCTCCCTTTTAGACATGTAATTCAGCCTCTTCCACAGGCAGTGCCACCCTCCTGCCTCTAGAAGGTTGAGATGCAACCTCTGCTACGACCAGAGCAGCTCGTTCACCCCAAGGCACAGGACCAGGAATCACACTGCTGTCAGATCCCTGGAACTGCAGTTTTGGCAACATTACTGGAAAGCAGCTTTGTGACTGCTGACAAACTAGGAAACACCCACACAATACCTTCCGCAATCAAAGTACCAGCGACTTCCTACAGCAGCAGTTTGGGACCACAAAATTATCTAAGAGATGTCAAAACAGATGGACATGGGGAGTGTAGCTCCTCAAGAGATTTCAAGCAAATATTGTTTCTCATATTTTCAATACTCCAGTTTGAGAAATGTAAAAAATTGTTTCTGTCACCAGATAAAACCTGTTCTTGAAACTATTCAGTCAAGTCCAGCCCCCAATCACTACCACCAATAAAATAGTCACACCCTTAGGATGACACATCCAGGTAAGGAGGTAGCTTACTTCTGAAAAAATATATTATTGGCACTTCTATTACTTTGTTGTGTATTATGCTTGCATTTAAAAAAACATCTATGGCTAAAGCTACTGTGTACAAGGATCACTAAAAGTTAAAAGATTATGTCAGAACTTTTCCAAGAGCAAAGTGGAATTTTGCCCAATGAATCAAGAGCAATGTGGAGTTTTCCCCAAGCCCTCATTCCATTGAATGCTATTGGGAATAATCAAGAATATCATTGACAAGCTGACTGTGAAATGATTGAACAGCTCATCATCTACAACCGTAAACCTCCACAGACAAGAGACCCCCCCGCAAAAAGCTGCACATATGTCAAAGCATGTCCCACAGTTGTAGCTTATTATTCAATGAGTCTAAAATAATTACAAAATACAAAGTGATTACAGTTATTAAATGAGCCTAAAATAATTACAACAAAGTTTAATTAACTGGTTGGATATCAAAATTCAGTATCTAACCAAAAATGCACTTTCTGAGATGAATGATGAACTGTTTCTCAAGTGACTTGAGTTTGATCTGTCCTTATCTCCTTGAGGATACTCCTCAAGCTCTTTGCTATTCCTTCCCCCTCTGTTGCCTCTAAGGAGGTACATTACTCAAATGATTTATGTTGGAATACATCCAAAACCATATGGATATAGTGGATAACCAGACAAGTATGATAAGCTAAAGCCAGCTTGTTGAAGATGAAATGCTGACATCATTCTGCACATTCATCATCACACCAGCTCTCGGGTTTTCTGCTTAGGATTTGGTTCCTTGATTTACTTTTTTTTTTAACTGGAAGACATTCTAGAAATAGACATTTTGATGACTTCACTTTTTTTTTTTTTTTTAGAGTGGTAAATCTTAAAGGAGAAATGTCCAACTAACTTAAATTAGGTGGGAGGAAATAACTTAATATTTAATCTTAAAGACAAATCTACTGATTTAAATAGTTATGCTCAATCCACCACCATCTTGCAAAGAAATGCAGGTCAATCATGGAAATACCAATATTTCTACTTTTCAGTTGAAAAATTAAGGCATCAGGAAAATTTGGAGACTATCAAGAACTAACAGGGCAGAAATTAAGGGAACATTTGAGTCTAAACAACTATTTCCTTTCATTTAAACATCTTCACAGAGTCATAAAAGCATCAGCCATATGCAAATATAAACAACAATAAACCTATTAGGAATAACTGATTTGGTTTTAGTTAATTTTTTACAGATTATAATAAATCCAGAAGGATGAAGAATTCTTACATGGAAAGAAACTATCCCACTATCCCAGGGAAAAAACCTTTCAAACTCACTATGAAATTTATGTAGAAATTATTACTTTGATGCAATGTGTCCTCAGTTTTCTGAATGAGCTGAAAGTATCACAGAGCTACAAGAATTCACATTACCACATAAAATTTTTAATTATGTCCCTGTAGACCATATGCAACCAGGAAAGCAGTCCTTAATCCAGAGCAATTTTTAATCTTAAATTTCATGTGAGCTGGCCTAATTCACCATATAACTTAAATACTATCAAGTTACAGATTTGCATCACAGAGTTAAACCAGAGCAGACTACACAGACCCTCCTCATTCAAAAGAAATGCCTTTTTTTGTTCAACTTCAGGATGTTTCTGTGAAACTTTAATTTACTTGAATGAAAGCATTTTAAATCATTTTTATGAAACTCTATTAGGAATCACTTCTATCAAACTTGGTTTTATTTTAATGGTGAATCTCTCTACATAAAAAATCTTTAAAGAGCCTTAAGGTTTTTCAGTGAGGGGCCTTTAATGCCTGTCATTACACTTCAGCCAGTGCCATACACCAAACTCCATGACAGGAAAGGTTTTCATGGATATCAAGAGTTGGATTCTGCCACATATTTATTTAATTGTAGGGAATCATCTTTCTCAATCTTCTTTTGACCAATTATTCCTACTGAAAGCTGATTTTTGGTGATGTCAAAACAGCCCATTTGGCTTGTCCAGGTATGTGGATGTGTATTTAATATGTTACAAACTGATTTATACTTAAAAAGTATCTACCATTCTTACGCATTACCTACCAAATTTTCATTTTCAGAGCGCATTTTGAAAACATTTCAGCTTTTTCCCCCATCTTCATTTTTTTTTAGAAGAGTTACTTTTAAAACCTCCCTGAAATTATACTTGTCATCAGCCCTGTAGTAGAATCTCACATAGAACCAGATTTAACAACTTTGCAAAACCCTGGCTTAAACATGTGGAGCTTATTTGCAGTGTCTGTTAATATTTTGCTTACCAATATCAGCTTCCCTGTGATTCTTGATATATTCAGCAAGCTCAAAATTTCCAGCTATTATAGCCACCTAAAGGATTGCAAAATAGGTACAATTAATATATTGCCATCACTTGTTAAGAAGGAAAATAAACATGTTATAGTATCAGAAAAAAAATCATGAAAATATATTTTCATTTCACAAAGTAGAGTGACTCTGTATTGCTTCTATTCTGCAACAAAATTGAGAAATTATATCTTAATCTATTTGTAAGAGCACTGCCAGTCCCCCAGCTCCCCATTTCCTAGGATTGCTGTGATGGGGGGAGGCTCAGGAGGCTCCTGGAAGAGCTGCTGCTTTTCATGTTGTGGCAGCCAAACCCAGCAGTGAACATTAAACACAGCATCCCCAAAACTCTTGGAGCTGTATGGATGTATGGGGAATGCTACAGGAGCAGGCTTGGAGAGACACACTGAAGATATTATTTCCCTTTAACTGCTCCTTCCTCACCACTTACCTGAACAATAAAAACAGGAGCTAAAATGCAAAGCAAATGAGACAACTGGGGAAGAAGGACCAAGAACTACAAGGTACCAGTAAGACACAAAAAAAAAGACTGAGAGAAACTGGTAAAGTCATGCATGGGTTTAGGGTTTAAATCAAAACAAATCAAGTTCTAAAATCACAATTTTCTTTTTCATTTATTTCCTGGTTGTTGAACACAGATGTGTAACTATATATTCAGAATTCTCATCTAAGTGCACTTAAAAAGAGAAACATCTCCACTGGGTGATTTGGTTGTGCCATTGGTGTCTCCTCACTTTTTCTTCTCCTATTTTTACTCTGAATATTGTCTCTTCTGGCTCCATTTTGCAGCTAATAGATACTGTCCCCCTATTGGGGGGTTTTCCCGGTGTATGTACAAGGTATTTGTTGGGCTGACCTTTCCCGTAGAAGCTTCTGCATCTGCAGGGTGTAGGTAAAAAAAAGATATTTAAAAAAATCCTGCTTTGGGACTTCCCTGGATACAGGGGTATTGTCAGACATGAGAAATTAATGAAAGCTCAAGGAAATTCCTGAGCTGGTACTAAGGAAGATTTTCTGCTGGTTTGTGCCTCTCCACAAATCTCAGGGATGAAGAATCATGCAAAGAAAAACCTAAATGCTGGAATGGTCTTAGGGAGGTTTATGAAGTACAGTTAATGTTATATCTTTTAATGTAACAAGCATTAGATCCTATTTCTGCACTCAGCACAGGAAATTGAATGGACAAAATTTTATTTACTAGCAATCAAAACAAACTAATGTGGAAATCCTTGAAAAATGGAGACTTTACACATAAGCAACAAGCTACAGGAAGAAAACCTTAACTATTATGCCGATAAGATTTTTCGAACTTGCTTTAAATTATAGGCTCAGAGCAGGCTTCAATCAGGAGTCACGACCATTACAGCCACTTCACCTAAAAATCAAAGAATTACACAGATAGAAAATATATGCACTTCTGTCATAGGTTTGAAAAGAGATGCTGGAATTTTTTCCCTAGTGTCCCATTTTTTTCCTGCTTCCCACCCCCCATCTGTTTCTTCTGGGATGGGGGGAGTCAGGGAGGGGGTGGGTGATAGAGTGGAGCCGCACACACTGGGCAGCGCAGGAGTGGGGGAAGGGGGAGGTTCCCTGGGAGCGCAGTTGTTGGGGGCACGGCTGGAGAGTCTTTTGTTGGGAGGTTTTTGGTTTGGTTGGCCGACCAGACAGAGTGGGGTGGGGGGGCCTGGTTTCGGCCACCGCCTTTTCTTTTTTCCTGAGAGGAAGTTTTTTTTCCCATGGGACACCTTGCGGAGAATGAGAGAGAGAGAGAGAGAGAGAGAGAGAGACTGACACATTTCAGAGGGGGGAGACCCAGAAGGGAAGTCGCAGCCAGCAGAAGTGACCCCAGTGCAGAGGAAGAAGTATAAAGCCAAGTCAATACGCCCAGTTAATGAGGACGGGGAATCAGGGCCTTCACAGCCAGTGGAAGACCCAGAGCCTGAGATCCTTCCCAAATCCCTGTCATATGACCAGCTCCGCAATATGTGGAATGATGTTACTTGATGCCAAGACAAGCCCATTTTGACCTGGCTGATTGTGGAACCTTATGGGTGAGGGTTTGTCACTTGATAGCAACGAAGCAAGGTATTTGGGATCCCTGGCCCAGGATGTGGGTATCGAGCAAGCATTCGTGAGGGAGTCAAAGCCCCTTTCTCTCTGGGAGTGACTTCTAACAGGTGTGAGACAGAAGTTTGTTTACAGAGGCTTCCTGCAGCAGCACCATTATGAGACAGCCTGGAAGAACATGGAGGAAGGTATCCAATGCCTTGAGAGAAATGGCACTGTTAGAGACACTTTTTGACAAGGATGGGCAACCCAGTCACAACCCCGATGACACCAGGTGTATATCACAGATGTGGTGGAGCCTTTCACAGGTACGGTTACCTGTATACACCAATTTCTTGGCATCATTGCACTTTGGAGGAAATGGAAAGGCAGTGGGCTCTGTAACGAATAAACTCAGGATGTACGACAGCATGGTCCACACCCCGCTACAGGCCCATATCTTCACTATAGAGACAATGGTTAAGAGTTTCAAGGCACTGACTACAGAAGTACAGGATGAACAGAAGAAACTTAGAGAGGAGATGAAGGAAAACAGCTTCCACGTGGCACCAGCGCAAACCAGAGCCTCTGAAGTCGGAGCCAGGTGTTCCCCAGTTAGAGAGAGCGGACAGACCCCACGAACCAAGCTGTGGTACTTCCTAATCCATCATGGAGAAGACATGAGACAGTGGGACAGGAAACCTACCCGTGCCCTAGCAGCCCGAGGACAAGAGCTGAAGGAGAGAGAAAAGGGGAAGCCCATGAGAGTAAGTGCAGTGCCGGTATCTCATGGACAAGGATCTGACCTGCTAGAAGGTTCCTCCCAAATGTATTCACAGGGAAAGAGCTGTGATGGTCCCAACCAAGACCAGTGTTAGAGGGGTCCTGCCTCTAGCCAGGCAGAGGCACAGGAGAACCGTGTCTATTGGACTGTGTGGATCAGATGGCCTGGCACGTCAGACTCACAGGAATACCAGGTTTTGGTTGATACTGGTGCTCAGTGTATGTTAATGCCCTCAGGACATGTGGGACCAGAGACTATTTCCATTTCTGGGGTGACAGGAGGGTCTCAGGAGTTGACCATGTTGGAAGCTGAGGTGAGCTTGACCGGGAAGGACTGGCAGAAACACCCCATTGTGACTGGTCCAGATGCCCCATGTATCCTGGGCATTGACTACCTCAGGAACAGATATTTCAAAGACCCCAAGGGACATAGATGGGTTTTTGGAATAGCTGCTGTAGAGACAGAGGTGGCTTAGCAGGTGAATTCATTACCAAGCCTCTCAGAGAACCCTTCTGCTGTGGGACTGTGGAAGGTCAAGGAACAGCAAGTGCCAATTGCCACCACAATAGTGCATCGTCGGCAGTACCGAACGAACCGAGACTCTGTGATCCCCATCCATAAGATGATCCGTGAGCTGGAGAGCCAAGGGATGGTCAGCAAGACCCACTCACCCTTCAACAGCCCCATCTGGCCTGTGCGTAAGTCTGATGGAGAATGGAGATTGACTGTGGACTATCGTGAATGAAGTTACCCCACTGCTGAGTGCCACCGTGCCAGACATGTTGGAGCTCCAGTAGGAGCTGGACTCCAAGGCAGCGAGGTGGTACGCCACTAGTGACATTGCAAATTAGCAGCAGAGTGTAGGCCACAGTTTGCTTTCACCTGGAGGGGCTGCAGTACACCTGGAACTGACTGCCCCAGGGGTGGAAACACAGTCCCACCATCTGCCACGGTCTGATCCAGGCTGCATTAGAGAAGGGTGGAACTCCAGAACACCTGCAGTACATTGACGACATCATCGTATGGGGGACAGAGCAGGGGAGGTTTCTGAGAAAGGAAAGAAAATCATCCAGATTCTCCTGGGTTTTGCCATCAAAAAGAGTAAGGTCAAGGGACCAGCCTGAGAGGTCCAGTTCCTGGGGGTGAAGTGGCAAGACGGATGTCGTCAGATCCCGACAGAAGTCATTGATAAGATCACAGCAATGGCCCCACTGACCAGTAAGAAGGAAACACAAGCTTGTCTGGGTACCATAGGTTTCTGGAGGATGCATATCCCGGAGTAAGTCAAATCGTAAGTCCTCTCTATCTGGTAACCCGCAAGAAGAATGATTTCCACTGGGGCCCTGAACAGCAGCAAGCATCCGAACAGATCAAGCAGGAGGTTGCCCATGCTGTAGCCCTTAGGCCAGTCAGGACAGGACCAGATGTGAAGAATGTACTCTATTCTGCAGCTGGGGATAAAGGTCTTTCCTGGAGCCTCTGGCAAAAGGTGCCTGGCGAGACCCAAGGCTGCCCACTTGGATTCTGGAGCCAAAGCTACAGAGGACCTGAAGCCAACTACACCCCAACAGAGAAGGAGATCCTAGCAGCTTATGAAGGAGTATAAGCTGCCTTGGAGGTGACTGGCACAGAAGAACAGCTCCTCCTGGCACCTCGATTACTGGTGCTGAGCTGGATGTTCAAGGGAAAGGTGCCCTCTACACATCATGCCACTGATGCTACATGGAGTAAGTGGATCGCTCTGATCACGCAGCGAGCCCATATTGGAAATCCGAATCACCCTGGGATCCTAGAAGTCATCACAAACTGGCCAGAAGGTGAGAATTTTGGTCTAGCAGATGAAGAAGAAGAGCAGGAGGTACAGGCTGAGGAAGCCCCAGCATACAATCAACTACCAGAAGAAGAAACATGAGCTATGCCCTTCATACTGATGGTTCCTGTTGCACTGTAGGGATAAAACATAAATGGAAAGCAGCTGTATGGAGCCCCACACGACAAGTTGCAGAAGCTACTGAAGGAGAAGGGGAATCGAGCCAATTCGCAGAGCTCAAAGCTGTCCAATTGGCATTGGACATTGCTGAACGAGACAAGTGGCCAAAGCTTTACCTCTGCACTGGCTCGTGGATGGTGGCCAATGCTCTGTGGGGGTGGTTGGAAGAAGGCCAATTGGAAA